TAGTTGTCTTGATTCCCAGCATCTGACAGTGGACTTGATACATTCTCAGACGTTTCGCCGGCCTCGTAGTAGCAGAACGGTTGTCGAGGGATTGACTTCACTTGTCTCTTTGACGAGTTCGTAGCTTGGCGCGGAGAATGACAAGGCTCACTGATGATGCCGACTACGAGGCTGGAGAAACGTTTTGAGAATGTACCAAGTCCACTGTCTGATGCTGTGAATCAAGACAACTACTATGACAGACGACTTCGAACTCGGTGCGTTCTACATAGTCTCCCTGAACACAAGACCAAGTCGCGACAACGAGGTCAACCCACTTCTATACTCATGCGATTGTGGGAAAATCATCTTAAACGAAATAATGTAAATACATCTCATGTACCACCCATTTTTTTGTTTTAAAATACTGCTACAGTATTGTGGGGAAAACGAAAGCAGTGCATTAATTCATCAAAGCCTCAAACCGAGGCTCCGATGAAGTTGAGGTCTTCTTCACACAATCCAAAATTTTCCTCTTTTGAGGTCAATTCATGACTCTTTTCCAGCCGCCAGCACCAATCTATTAAAGAAGTCTTCGAAACCCAGCCTCTCTTCACACATTATGCGGCCTAATTAACACACACACACTTTCACATACCCTTATCGTTGTGAGAGTGGCGTCCATCAATCTACTTGACGTCATTGGTTTGAGCCAGCCCGTGAGGACAGCCTCCTGCCTCCACCCTTTATTCCGGCCGGATTCGGCCAGAAGCAGATGGCCCAGTCTTTGTTGTCATAGCAGCCTGACTGGCCGACTGTCTGCATGCACTGGGAGGTGACCGCGCACCCGTTCGAGTCCGGCAGTCCCCAGCCGATCCATCTGGACACCTCCTGTCGGCACATGGAGGACACCTAAACACCCAACCCCGACACAGAGGGCCGGCAACCAATCAGTCCTCTTCCAGTGGCAAATGGGAGCAAGCCGCGAGGGCTACTTTTGGGCGCAAGCTTACCCGTTTTCGTGGCCAAGAAGCCCATTTCACGCTGAAAAAAAGAGGCATCGCCGTCTGGTGCACACTCGCTTCAAGGCGCTACGGCGCCCCATTGCAAACACCTCGCCCCGACAACCTCGGTCGTCGTGCCAACCGGACTGGCGGATCGTTCTAGGCTGTGTCTGGCCGGGGGCTGGCGATAGACCCGGTGCAGACGGACCAGTTGGGCCGGTGAACTCGCGGCCAAGTGCAACGTCGCGACGACACGAGCCACTTTCAAGCGGTGTGAACCGTCTCAAGCTTTGCCTGTGTCTTGCCTGACTGACTGTTCGCTCGGCCGAGCTGATCCGATATACATACCTTCCCTCGAATTGGGTTGCGCTAAGGCTAGCCGGCCAAATGCGAGTGTAGGCAAGGCAGTTGTGGTTATAGCAACTAGATTTGCCCGAATAGATGCCCTAGCAACTGCGGATTTAGGAGGTGCATGACTCACGTAGTCCGAAAAAAACAACAATTCGGACGCTATTGCTGCCACACTTAGTCCATAGCTGTCTCTAGTGTCTAGGCCGGTTGGATGATTTCTCACTTCGACAGATTCACTTGGTAAGCCGGTTTCTACTTATATTCGTAAGTGAGTAGGGTCTCGAGACTATCAGTAAATCAGTTTAATGAAATGTATTCTCCCTATTTCGTCTAAGGTGATGAAGGACTGGTAGTAGAATTTTCCCACAATGATATGAGTTGAGCTGAC